TAGGTGGGGGCCAGCAAGGGTCAATTCATGTTCATGTGTGTCCAACTTAGTATTACAGGACAACTCTTTTCTAGTACCTTTAACTAGACCAACTATATTTTTGGGAGAGATCTTCCAAGTATACAGTTGCACTAATAAAACTATATTGGAAAAAAATCCTCACCTCCTAATACATTTCCCAGACCATTATGGCTTTGGCAACACTCCAATCCTACAATTTAGTGTTAGTAACTGTAAGTGTATGTTCCTGTTATCTCAAGACTCTCTTTAGGTGTGCATAGGTCAGGATCACATACTGTAAGAAGCTTAGGTAAAAAAGAGAGAGAAAACAAAATGGGCTAAGATGTCCCTGGCAATACTAATTGAAGAGCTGACACACACACACACACTCACTCACTCACTCACTCTCTCTCTCTCTCTCTCTCTCTCTCTCTCTCTCTCTCTCTCTCTGAAACTTAACACATTTATGAACTGAAAACCTACAGTGTTGTTTTCCCAAACCCAGACATATTTGCACAAATGGAAGTTCCCTGTTTGGAATAATCAATATAAAGTAATTATGTTTCAGAGTATTGAAAAAAATGAGACATAACTATAAAATATTGTTAGCAATAGCAAGTCTGTTCTCTTTTTATAGTGTCAAGTCTTCTAAACTGTGGTTGTAAGACTGGGAAGTCTTGCGTTCTCATCTGAAGTAAACAAGCACTATTGTAGGAGTTTTTGTTTATTTGTTTTTTTTTTTTTTAAATTCAATAATAGCCTTATTGAAGTAATGGAGCTGTGCTTTTTAAAACATGCCTTGTTGAAAAACACATTTGCCAATTCTGTTTTTTAAACTTGTTTTTCTGCTTAGAGCTGGCGAGAGCTGGATACTCGGATCACTAATGCAGCTAATGAAGCCAAAGATAATGTGAAGTATCTCTACACACTTGAAAAATGTTGTGACCCCTTGTATAACCGTGACCCTGTAAGTAACAGCTCCTCACTAGTTTAAAAGGTTCCATGTTGCAACTGAACACACAACACTTCTAGCTGATGGGCATGACTTAGCATTCTGAAGTGACTTTCCATTTTATTTAATTATAACTACCTGCATCCAGATTGAGGTTCAAGTGAACAGTCCCAGAATAAGTTTATATCTTACTATGGCTTAAGGTAAATTACTTGGTAGACAGTATTAAGTTTTCATGGATGCCAGGACAGGACAAACAATTTTTTTTGTGGGCCATACAGGGATATGTAACACTGACCTAGTTAACCTCTATAAAAATGGAAAAGAGTAGACAGACAGGGTTGAATTTTTTTTTTTCATTAAAAACTTCACTTGGAAGCATTTGCTTGGCATCACTGAAGTGTTTTATAGTTGGAGATTGAGATGAGGTATGTGCAATGTGTGAAGGAAGCAAGAAGTATGGAATAATAGTTAAAAATGTAAGGGACCTCTAGCTAACATGTTATAGATTTCATAGACGTTAGGGCTGGAGGGGACCTCGTAAGATCATCATCGGGTCCAGCCCCCTGCCCAAGGGGCAGGAAGTCAGTTAGGGTCAAAGGATCCCAACAAGATAAGCGTCCAAATGTTTCTTGAAAGCTTCCATAGTAGGTGCTTGCACCACCTCTGGAGGGGAGTCTGTTCCAGGCCTTGGGGGTCAGAAAATAAAGACGTTTTTCCTTATGTCCAGCCTAAAACGGTCTTGCAGGAGTTTGTGACTGTTGGGTCATCCCCTGGGGTGCTCTGGTAAAGAGGTGTTTCCCCAGATCCTGATGCACACCCCTTATGTACTTATAGGCTGCCACCATGTCACCCCTGAGCCTGAGCTTCTCCAGGCTGAAGAGTACTATAGCTCTTAGACTCTCTTCATAAGGCCTGTTCTCTTGCCCTCTGAGCATGTGTGTGGCTCTTCTCTGGACTCCTTCAAGCTTCTCCACATCCTTCCTGAATTGTGGAGCCCAGAATTGCATGCAGTAATTCAGCTGTGGCCTCTCCAAGGCTGAGTACAGTGGGAGGATGACATCCTGGGTCTTGCTTGAGATGCATCAGTAGATGCAAGCCAAAGGTTTTGTTTTTGTTGTTTGCCTTCCCCACCAATGTATTGCACTGGTGCCTTATAGTCATCTTCTGGTCAGTCGTGACCCCCAAGTCTCTTTTGGTCGTGGTGCTAGTGAGTGTAGCATTGCCAAGCCTATAAGTGTGATGCGGGTTTTTGTTCCTAAGGTGGAGCACCTTACATTTCACTGTATTGAATGTCATTAGGTTTTCAACCACCCACCTTGCAAGCCTATTGAGGTCAGCCTGGATCACCATCCTATCCTCAAGGTTGGATGCCGTTCCCCAAAGTTTGGTGTCGTCAGCAAACTTGGCTAGTCTGCTTTTGACAACAGTGTCCAGATTAGGTTTATGAAGACATCAAAGAGTACAGGTCTGAGAACAGAGCCTTGTGGGATGACACTAGTCACCAAGTGCTATCTTGATTTGGTTCCATCAACTACCACTCGCTGGGTCCGACCTCAGAGCCAGTTCCCCAGCCTGTGGAGTATTTAGAGCTGCAGTTGCCCAATTTTTCCATGAGGACATCAGGTCAAAAGGTTGTGTTTTTTTTAAATTTTTTTTTATTTTTATTTTTTTTGAAGTTCAAATATAAAGTCAACCTCTTCCCTTTTGTCCAGGTGATACATCACCTGGTCATAGGAAGAAATGAGATTGGCCAAGCAAGACCTACCTGCAACAAACCCATGCTGTCTCTCTCTCAGAATGTTGCCTTCTGTTAGCCTGAACAGTGGTTTCTTTGATTAATTTTTTTCCAAAATCTTCCCAGGGATTGAGGTCAAACTGATTGGTCTGTAGTTTCCCAGGTCTTTTTTTCCTCCCTTGAAGATTCACACTGCATTGGCCCTCTTCC